TTTGAGTTCAAAGCCAGCCTGGTCTATAGAGCGAGTTCCAGGACAGCCAGGGCTACACAGAGAAACCCTGTCTTGGAAACAAAACAAAAAGAAAGAGTGAATAAATAAGCAATTTAATTCTCCAAAGTGTGAGTATAGAAGCCTGGTTTATTTTATGTTTTTAATGTATTTCCTGCCTTCCTTACTTCCCCATCTCAATGACCAGTCTATAAAAGATATGCTCAATTGTACCACGTGTGCAAATGTAATCAAAGGTTTTGAGGGCCACACACCAGAGCAACATTGGCAGAGATCTTTCAGGTGAAGAGAGCTAGGACTCAAGCGATGGTCTGAGCAGTACTCACAAGTTTTGCTCTGTAATTTGGTCTTATCTGACCTTTTGTGATTAGGCCTTCTTTTTTAATTGATGTAGTTTTAATTTTTTGTGTGTATGAGTGTTTTGCCTGCATGTATATCTGTGAACCACCCATGGCTCCTGATGCCCTGGAACTGGAGTTACAGATGGCTATGAGCGGCGCCATGTGGGTGCTGGGAACCAAACCCCAGTCCTTTAGAACAGCCAGTCCTCCCAACCTCTAAGCCATCTCTCCAGCCGGGCGGTGGTGGCGCACGCCTTTAATCCCAGCACTTGGGAGGCAGAGCCAGGCGGATCCCTGTGAGTTCGAGGCCAGCCTGGTCTACCAAGTGAGTTCCAGGAAAGGCACAACGCTACACAGAGAAACCCTGTCTCAAAAAACCAATTAAAAAAAAAGAAAAGAAAAAAAAAGCCATCTTTCCAGCCCGATTATGTATTCCTTTATCACATGATAAAAGCATCCGAGCCCATCTTTTAAAAGATTTTTGAATTTTGCTTTATTTTATAATTATGAGTGTTTTGCCTGCATGTACATATATGCACCACATGCATGCCTATTTTCCTTAGAGGTTAAAAGACGGCGTCAGACCCTCTGAAATTACAAAGTAGCTGAGCTTATTTTATAAATGCCTGGAGAAAGCCTCATGTGTCTAGCCCCAGTGACATATGGTTCCCTTTGGGTGGAATGTGAGGAGGAGAGACCATTGGGGTGCATTGCCTCAGTGTTCCTCCAGCTCCAGCTCATACCCTGACCTCTTGTGAGTAAGCAGCACTCAGTGCCTGTTCCTTCCTGAAGGAGTTCTTTGAACAGTAGCTCCATCACTTTTGGAGGCTTCAGTTTAATGTTCAACCTGGAACAGGTTGGTGTGCTCTGCTCAACTCCTGTTCTATTTATAAATGTTTTTATTCCACTCAGGGGAAACAGGTCCTTGTCACCAGAAAGAATGGGCCTGTGGTGGCTCTGTAGGTGGGAAACCGTGCAGCATGGCCTGGGTGGGCATGGCTGAGGGGAAGCAGGCAGGCGGGCCTACTGCTTTCTGAGACATACAAGAGGGATTCCCACCCCAGTCAGCAGCAGGACTGGTCCTGCTCTGAGCAAGGCTGTCCCACTGGACACATTAACATCAATTAAATGGTTACAGTGCTGGCAGCAATTTTGGGTTTTGTGTGTACAGGTGCCAGACACTAAACTCCAGGCCTCAGTCGAGGCTAAGTACAGTACCACTTAGCTACACCCTCAGCCCCAGAAAACCTTGTTTCAATTAATGATTAACTGAAGGAAGCCCCTAAGACTTATCAGTAGGAGCTGAAGAGATGGCTTAGTGATTAAGAGGATGTGGTTTCAGTCTCAGCACCTACATGGTGCCTCAAGGCTGGCTGCTATTCCAGTTCCAGGGGATCCAATGCCTTTTTCTGGCATGGATGTGAACACTCATGCACATAAAATAAAAAATAATCAAAGAATCAACTCCTTTTCTTCTTATTTATTTATTTATTTATTTATTTTAGGTAGTGTCTCACTGTATAGCTCTGACTGTCCTGGAATTCCCTATGTAGACCAGGCTGGCCATGAACTCACTGAGATCTGCCAGCCTCTGCTTCTCAAATGCTGGGATTAAAGGCGTGCGCCACCACACCTGGTCCTTTTTCTTTTTTTAAGTGAAGGAATTCTGGACCAGGGTATGGTAATGCACAGCTGTAATTTCACAACTTAGGAGGCCGTGGCAGTATGATCACAGCTTCAAGGTTAGTGTGTGATACATAGTAAGACTATCATTTTAAGAAAACAAAATGTGCTGGGCAGTGGTGGTGCACACCTTTAATCCTAAGCACTCAGGAGGCAGAGGCAGGCAGATCTCTGTGAGGCCAGCCTGGTCTACAGAGTGAGTTCTAGGACAGCCAAGGCTACACAAAGAAACCTATCTGGAAAGAAATAAATCACAAATAAAATTCTTTTTAACTCAGTAGCATTGTCTTTCTCTGTTCATTTTCTACTTGAATTTTCTAGATACAGGAGACATCAGAGTGGTGTGGATATTTACCTAAACTCACTGAAGACAACAACCCCCGTGACGGTGTTGGATACTCTACCATCCCGATCAGGAAGGTCAGCCCAGTGTGCATGAGTGACTGTTGGGCGTGTGTTCCTGGGACAGCAGTCTTTGGTGGGAGCTTTAGAACCCACACCAATGGGCTGTTATAGCTCACTGTGCATGGCCTCGTAGTATATCTCACCCTTTGCCTTTCCTCTCCACTGTTCTCTCCTCTCCCTTCCCCTCCCCTCCCCTTCCCTTCCTCCCCTCCCCTCCCCTACCCTCTCTCCTCCTCTCCCTTCTTCTCTCTCTTGTTTTCTGGGCAGGAGGCCAAACCTTAGGCCTCACACACATTAGACAGATGCTCTACAGCTGAGCGCCATCCCAGCCCTTGATTTTTTTTTTTAATTTTATGTGTATGAATGTTTTACCTCCACATATATATTTGCACCACATACATGCCTTTATTTTAGGTTTATTTTTTATAATAGTTTTCTCATTCTTGAAATTATAATGTAATTACATCATTTCCTCTTGGCCTCTTTTTCTTTGTTACACACACACACTTCTAAATATGTAGATATTATAACCAGTTTTGTCCGTATAATGTTTACTTGTATATATATAATTTCAAGACTGACTACTTGGCCTTGAATGACCGACTGGGGGCTCTTCCACAGGAGGACTATTTCTCCCACTTCCAGTGCTCCTTAGTTGCATGTACTGCTCTGTCTAAGGCTAAGATGTTTGTTTAGACAGGGTCTCACTGGGTAGCCCTGTCTGGCTCAGAACTCACTGTTAGGTGAGCAGATTGGCCTTGAACTCACAAAGAGTCCCTGTCTGCCAAGCACTGGGATTATTTTTACTTTCTTTATTTATTTTTTATTGGTTTTTAGAGACAGGGTTCCTCTGTGTAATAGACCTGGTTGTCCTGGAACTCACTCTGTAGACCAGACTGGCCTCGAACTCACAGAGATCCACCTGCCTCTGCGTCCCAAATGCTGGGAATAAAGGTGTGCATAATTTTTTAATGTATTTTATTTTATGTGTATGAGTGCTTGGCCTGTATGTATATATGTGCACTGTGTGGTGCCTGGTGCCCATGGAAGCCAGAAGAGGGTGTCAGACCTCCTGGAACTGGAGTTACAAACAGTTGTGAGCCACCATTGTTGTGGAATATTCCTTTACACTGTGTGAAGACGTGTCACTGTGATTGGTTTAGTAGAAAGCTAAACGGCCAATAGCTAGGCAGGAGGTGTAGGTGGGACTTTCGGATAGAGAGAGCTCTGGGAAGAAGAAAGGCAGAGTCGCCAGCCAGATGCAGAATAACCATTCACACAATGGTACGCAGATACACACGTACATGTAGGCCAAACACCCATACAGGTAAATAAAATTAATTTTAAATGTGTTTTGTTTTTGTTTTTGGAGACAGGGTTTCTCTATGTAACAGCCCTAGCTGTCCTGGAACTCACTTTGTAGACCAGGCTGGCCTCAAACTCCCAGAGAACCGCCTGCCCCTGCCTCCCGAGTGCGAGGATTAAAAGCATCTCCACCACTTGGCTTAAATTTTAAACTTTTTTTTATAATTTATTTATTTTTATTTTATGTGCATTGGTGTTTTGCCTGCATATATTTCCGTGTGAGGATGCCAGATCCCCTTGGAACTGGAGTTACAGACAGTTGTAAGCCACCATGCGGGTGCTGGGAATTGAACCCCAGTCCTCTGGAAGAGTAGCCAGTGCTCTTAACCACTGAGCCATCTCTTCAGCCCCCCTTAAATGTTTTTTATTTGTTTTTTGTTTTTGTTTTTTTCGAGACAGGGTTTCTCTGTGTAGCTTTGCGCCTTTCCTGGAACTCACTTGGTAGCCCAGGTTGGCCTCGAACTCAGAGATCTGCCTGGCTCTGCCTCCTGAGTGCTGGGATTAAAGGCGTGCACCACCACCGAAATGTTTTTTAAAAAGAAGGTTTATTCCTGGCAGTGGTGGCCCACATCTTTAATCCCAGCATTCTGGAGGCAGAACTCTGTGAGATCAACCTGGTCTACAGAGCAAGTTCCAGGACAGCCAAGGCTACACAGAGAAACCCTGTCTTGGAAAAAAAAAAAAAAAAAAAAAAGATTTATTTTGTTGTTTTATGTATGAGCATTTCTCTGCATTTGTTTATATGCCCCACATGTGTGCTTTGCCTGCAGAGGCCAAAAGAGGATGTTGGACCCCTTAGAACTGGAGTTACAGACAGTTTTAAACTCGCTGAACCGGTTGCTGGGAATTGAACCCAGGTCCTCTGGAAGAGAAGTAAGCACTCTTAACCATGCAGCCATCTCTCGGGCCCACAGAGTCAGGCTTTTCAAAGCATTACTGGGAACCTGTCCCCAGCTTTTCGTTACTGGGAACCCATGGCCTATTCTGGTAACAAATAAATTCTGTGAAAAGAAGTTGTTCTCCAGAGTTAGTGATGATTTTTCAGAGCAATTATTTATCTTCCTGGTCCTTTTTAGACAAATAAAAACAAAGCCAAGTTCTTTAAAATGTAAACTTCCAGTGCATGTACTGAAACTGCTTTCCATCCTGCAGGCTGTGTGGGATGACTGACTGGCTGACGGAAAGCCCCCAAGGACGGGGCTGCAAGATCTAGCTGCCCTTAGCTCCCTTCCTGGCAGCCTGGGACCTGCCTCTCAGGCACCTCGGGCGCCATGGACTCCCCAGGGTACAACTGCTTTGTGGACAGGGACAAGATGGACGCATCCATCCAGGACCTGGGGCCAAAGGAACTGAACTGCACGGAGCTGCCGGAGCTGAAGCAGCTGGCACGGCAGGGCTACTGGGCCCAGAGCCACGCCCTGCGGGGGAAAGTGTACCAGCGCCTGATCCGGGACATCCCCTGCCGCACCGTCACACCTGACGCCAGCGTGTACAGCGATATTGTGGGCAAGATTGTGGGCAAGCACAGCAGCAGCAGCTTGCCCTTGCCTGAGTTTGTGGACAACACTCAGGTGCCCACCTACTGCCTGAACACACGGGGTGAGGGGGCCGTGCGCAAGATTCTCCTGTGCATCGCCAATCAGTTCCCCGACATCTCCTTCTGCCCCGCCCTGCCCGCCGTGGTGGCCCTGCTGCTGCACTACAGCATCGACGAGGCCGAGTGCTTCGAAAAGGCCTGCCGCATCCTAGCTTGCAATGACCCCAGCAAGAAGCTCATCGACCAGAGCTTCCTGGCCTTCGAGTCCTCCTGCATGACATTTGGGGACCTGGTGAACAAGTACTGCCAGGCGGCCCACAAACTGATGGTGGCTGTGTCAGAGGACGTCCTGCAGGTCTACTCTGACTGGCAGCGGTGGCTGTTCGGGGAGCTGCCCCTCAACTACTTTGCTCGTGTTTTTGATGTCTTCCTTGTAGAAGGCTACAAGGTATTGTACCGCGTCGCTCTGGCCATCCTCAAGTTCTTCCACAAGGTGAGAGCAGGACAGCCCCTCGAGTCAGACAATGTAAAGCAGGACATCCGCATATTTGTCAAGGACATTGCCAAGACAGTGTCCCCTGAGAAACTACTAGAGAAGGCCTTTGCCATCCGCCTGTTTTCCCGAAAGGAGATCCAGCTCTTGCAAATGGCCAATGAGAAGGCACTAAAGCAGAAGGGCATTACTGTCAAACAGAAGAGGTAGGTGGGCCCAGGATCATGTGCATGCGTGCTCATGCCTCTGGGGTGGGGGGTGGGGCCGGGGGTGTGCGGTAAGCACACTGCATCTGTGGAATGGGGAGCTTTAGTGGAATGCATCCCCGAGGTCTGAGCATGAGCTTGTCCTGCCAGCCGATGGTCTGCTTCTAGTCTTCTGTCTGTCTGCCTGCTCACATGTGGACAGAAAGACACTAGAAACCAGGAAGCTTTGCAGTTACGGCCTTAAGACAAGGAAGCTGGGTGCTGCCAGGTGGTCAGAAGGTCCAGCCATTGCCAGGCTGGCCTCCTAGGGGGTCAGAACAGCTCCTGCTCTGCCCTTCCAGCTCCAAGCTTCATGACTGGCATTCCTCTGAGTGCTGATTGTGGGCTCCCTGTCCCTTGGTACAGGGTTGGGAGAGTCATGGTGTTGGACACCTGACACTGTAGACGGCTGTAGGCATGGCAGCTGGCGTGGAGTTCACTTTCTCCTGGGCCCAAAGGAAGGCATCCTGAGATCCGTGCTCACCACTAACCTCACCTTGTCTGTTTTATTTTTCTTCTTCTCCGTGTCCGTTGCTTCCTCCTGTCTCTCAGTGTCTCACTTTCTAAAAGGTAGGTCTGAAACCACACCTCGAACGAAGCTTGGCCTCTCTGCCCTGCCTCTCTCTCTTCAGCCAGCTCTGGCTTGGCTGCTCACTGTCTCCCAAGCCCACCTGGCTCTCCTGGGTGGCTTCTGCTTGCTGCTTTAGCCTGATTGATACAGGCACTATCTGTCTGTCTGTCTGTCCGTCTTTCTGCCTCGCTTGTGAGATCTGCTGGTGCTTGGCTGGCTCTGCAGCCTTACCTTGCTGGAGGCTTACTTCATTTGTCCTGGTTTCTTAAAGAAAAGGGCTTTTGTCCCCCATACCCCCGGGCTGGGCACTGTCCCATGTATCAGGTGGGGGGTGGGGCTTCTAGGAACCATTTCACCCCATCTCCAGCTGGCACCTAGAGCCAGACTGCAAACCTGGCTGAGTAGGCGAGATATCCTTTCCAGGCTATGCACCACATGGAGCTGTGGTGCCTCAGGGTAGGGGTACAGTCAGGACTGGTCACTGAGGGCTCTCACTCCTGCCCACTTTCCCCAGGCAGTTTGTGCACTTGGCTGTCCATGCAGAAAACTTCCGCTCAGAGATCGTCAGCGTGAAGGAGATGCGAGACATCTGGTCCTGGATCCCCGAGCGTTTTGCCCTCTGCCAGCCCCTCCTGCTCTTCTCCTCGCTGCAGCACGGGTACAGCCTGACCAGGTGAGGCGCCCCGAGACTGAGGTCACACCCGGTGCTCCACGAAGTCACAGGGTGTCTGGAAGTGAGCCTTGGAACCTAAGATCCTGATAAGGTCTTGCCTCATCCTGAGGCCTGAGACTCAGGAGCCTCTTCTCCTGGCCTCCATCATTCCCAGGCTTCGGAGACTCTGGAAGTCCTTGCTGTGTGCACCACACCTTGAGGGCACTATGTGGGTATCGTAAAGATACAGAAATCAAAGTTCCCATCTTAGGAGCTCAGAATTACTAGGGAGATGTCACCTGAACAGCTGGCCCTGGCCTCCCTGATACCCTCACCCACTGTGTCCATCACAAGCCTGAGCCGGGCACCCCTTTCTGGGGCTGTGACTGTCTGTGTAAGTTCCTGTACTCTAGTAGGGACGCACTGCCCTCCAAGCTAGATCGGTTGGTCCAGTTAGTAGTCAAATCTCAAATGACAGTTCACAAATTCTGGACCACCCTCCCCCAGCCCCAAGTCCCCTACCTGCAACCACACAAGCATTTCAGCTTAGTTAAGAGTCACTTCTCAACAGGTGGTGGTGGTGCACGCCTTTAATCCCAGAACTCGGAGGCAGAGGCAGGCAGCCTCTGAGTTCAAGGCCAGCCTGGTCTACAAAGTGAGTTCCAGGAGAGCCAAGGCTACACAGAGGAAACCTCCCCCATCCCCACTCCCCCCCACCCCCATCTTCTCCCAGCCCCCAGGGACACCTGAGCATCACAGTGGCAAGCCTCTCACCTTCCTCACATGTCCAGGGCTGAGCTTTCCTGTTTCTCTGGTTCCTGCTCCCCTGTTGCTTCAGCACTCAGATTCGCCTGAGGGGGAATGCACTGTGACTCTCCTCTGTCATACCAGGGCAGCCTGGCCTGGCCAAAATGACACTGCAAGGTCCCTAGCTACTGTGGACAGAGGTGAAGGGTAAAGAGCGTAGTCCCTAGGCCTCTCTGCCCTAGACCTGGGGACCAACAGTTGGCGGTACTAAGAGGAGGTGCCAGGAGGACATGCGTGTGGTCTCTGCCCCCAGGTTCTATTTCCAGTGTGAAGGACACGAGCCCACCCTCCTGCTCATCAAGACCACGCAAAAGGAGGTGAGGAGCCCGGTTTCCAGGGCTGATGCCAAGACCTGAGTGTGAGATACGGTCCCAGCATGGGGCTTGTTCTCACGCTTGAGAGCCATGGGGGAGACAAAACGACCCGAGGGTGCACCTCCCCGAACTCAGTCCGCTCCCACAGCCTTTGGCCCTCAGTGGTGGGAAAATGCAATACACGGCACCCCGGAGCTGGGACTCGGTCACTCAGCATACCTGAAGAGAGGACACTGCTGAGGACAGGAAGCCACCCCAGAAAGTCTCACCCCAGCCTTCCTCCCTAGGTTTGTGGCGCTTACCTGTCAACAGACTGGAGCGAAAGAAATAAGTTTGGAGGCAAACTGAGCTTCTTTGGAACCGGAGAGTGCTTTGTTTTTAGGGTAAGTTGGGCTGACTGTGGGGTCCCTCTGCCTCCTCCTTCCTTCCTCAGCTATTCCTGTCTCTTCAGACATTCTGAACACTTAATTGGCCCTCCAAGACTGAGAGTAGGTCTAGCATCTGTCCTGGGCCAGGGTGTTGTCCCACCCCTGGCTGTCACAGAGGCTGTCTGGAGGGCTTCAGAAACCACCAGGCCATGTACCCGGGCACCCCAGCACAAGAGCCTTGGTTCATTTTCATTGTAGCGAATATCCTAAAGCATGCTCTTTTTTTACTTCTGGGTTTTGCTGGGTAGACCATGAGCACCCCAAGAGCTGGCAGGGCCTCATCTGCTAATGTGTGCCATTGCCACAGTCCCTCACTTAGGGGCTCACCTCACAGCAGATTCTCCACCCACAGGATGGAGATGGGCTGTAGCTTTGGAGCAGGAAGGCCCAGTGAGGTGCCTTCCTGACATGCCAGCTGCTCTGACTGCCATCTGTTCGTCCCCAGCTGCAGCCAGAGGTGCAGCGTTACGAGTGGGTGGTCATCAAGCATCCAGAGCTGACTAGGCCGGCATCCTTCAAGGCCCCAGAGGCTGCAGCCGCTCCTTCCCTCCTCAGCCACTCCGTCTCTTCAGACCCTGCTGATCGGCTCTCACCTTTCCTGGCTGCCCGGCACTTCAACCTGCCCTCCAAGACTGAATCCATGTTCATGGCTGGGGGCAATGACTGCCTCATCATTGGTAGGCACCTGTTCCCTTCAGTCTGGGGGGAGGACATGGGGGATGGAGGGCAGCTGAAGGTGGGAGGTGAGGCCCAGGCAAGCTTGTGGTCCAAAGATCTCTTTCCTGAGATTGCTGTTTAACAGGCCCTTCAGGGACAGAGATGATGGGTGTCTAGGGATGGGGTGGTTGTCAGAGCTGAAGGACATCTGTCTCCTTTTATACCCCACAGGGGGAGGAGGTGGCCAAGCACTCTACATTGACGGGGATCTGAACCGTGGCCGCACTGGACACTGCGACACCTTCAACAACCAGCCCCTCTGCTCTGAGAACTTCCTCATCTCAGCTGTGGAGGCCTGGGGCTTCCAAGACCCTGACACCCAGTGATGGGTCTGCGTTGATGGTGACTGAGCCCTATCATGGAGTGATGGGGCGGAGGCCCAGCTGCCTCTTGAGGGGGCAGGGAGTGAGTGAGACACCACCCCTATGAAGCAGTCAGGCTTGGTGCGCAGTGGGGACGGCACTGTCACCAGCCAAGCCTGGTTGCTGCTTGGATTGGCTGCCCCTCTGCCTTGGACCTGTTAGGCTGGGACCCCTGAACCCTCCTGCTTCTGAGCTCCAGGGGCTCTTATGCTCCCAACGCTGTCCAGTGTCTGCCCGCACCCAGGGTCCTGGCTCTGCGTGGAGGTGTCCTGTGCCCAAGATTGTCCAGGGCTCCGTTGCTCTGCCCCTGGGCCTCAGCCCTTTGTAGGGAAAGGGCAAATGAATCTTCTTGCCAAATGTGGGTCTGTGGTGCCCCCTGCTGGTTCTTTGGCTCTGTAGCGCCTCAGGCCTCTGACCCTCTGAGGCTTCTCTGAGCTGCATTTGCTGCTGCAGGATAGGATGGGGAGGGCAGTATTGTGCAGGGCTCTGCAGCTTCTCCCGTCCTAGAAGGAGGAGGGCTGGAGAGCTGTCTTTTGTCTTTGTGTTTCTGCAGAGCCCGAAGCTCTTGCTGCACCTCACTGCAAGTCCACACCTGAAGGTGGCCTCTGGAGAGACTTTCTTTGACCAACCTGGCCAGTCAGCTCCCTTTCCAGGGTTCTCCTGATTCTCCTCAGAGATGACGGGGCTCAGTGAGGCTTTTGCCCTCCCTCTGTCCATCCCTGTAGCCTCCTTGAACTCCTGTGGTCTTGGTGACTCCTGTGTTTCCTTTCCTTGTCACTGTAGTGACTGAGGCCCAGGGTCACCCGAACCCTAGCATGGCATGCTTGTCTCAGTTCAGCCTTCTGCCTTCTCCTCAGGCCTGTGGTTCCCTGTTCACACAGCATTTGATAAACCAGTGTGACTTTCAGACCCCTGTGCTGTCCCGATGGCTGGTCACATGCCGTGTTTTCTGTGTGCTACCCCTTCTCCCTTCCGGTCTCTGGATGTCTGTGCTCCTTGAGCCCTGTACTGGCCTGGCACACAGTAGATGCTGAGGGAAGTACCACCTCCGAGAGGACTGCAGCAAGCTCCATTTCCCCATGACCTCCCTCCTACCCTGTGACCTCCCTCAGCTGGTCCTGAGGGTCTAGGCACCACAGAGGAAGAGAGAAGAAGCAGTGGCCCAAATGGCTGTGCTGGGGCCACAGAAGTCTGGATCATAAGGACAGTTGCCTGGTTCCCCCATGACTGTGTCTGGCATGCCTCAGTCAGCATGTGTCACACCAACGCTCGTCTCTGTGATGATACTCTTGCTGTGGGAGGTTTATCCTTCCCTGTTCCATCTATTCACATCAGCTCCTAGCAAGACCACAGTGGCACAAGAGGCAGGGCAGGGAGGAGCCCTCTGAAACTTTGGGCCATCTGGTAAACCTGAATAGAACTTTGGACTCTGCACAGTGGACCAGTTCTCCCGACATGCTGGCTTCTGGGGCAGGTCGACTTGACTCTGGAGGGAAGCGGTGCTGGGGGAGCTGTTGTAGCCCCTCCCCCCCACTGCTCTGAGCCGGTGGTCCCTGCTGTACTCCCTCCCAACTTTGGTGTTCACTTAACACCATCTTGGTTTTTGTTATTGTTGTTCCTGGCAAGATCTTACTAGGTAACCTATTTGGTCTGGAACTCCCTATGTAGCCCAGGCTAGCCTGGAAATTCCTATGTAACCTAGGTTGGCCTCAAAATCATGACCTGCCTCAGCCTCCTAAGTGCCAGGCTCAGAGGCATTAAGCTCAGCACTTTCCTCTTGCATTAACTCTGAGGCCCCCAGGACTTTCCCAGGCTGTGCCATCATGATGCATGAGTCCCATGCATTGCCACTGGGACTCAGACGCCTGTCAGAAGCAGATTAAGTTAACTGGGCAGTGTGTGCAGGGCCCTGCAAGGTTCCTGACTGGGTAGTAGATTTCTTGTTTTGTGTGGCCCCCACTGGCCTTCCTGGGGGTCCAGCCCAAGAAGACTGGTCGATACTTAGTCACGATTACATCATAAGCAGATTTCTTAGCTTTTACCCACAGCATATTCAGTTCTTTAAATTTAATATCTCCTTTTTTCTGACTTTTCTACCAAAAGGCGTGTGGCATTCTCTTTATATTTTTATTCTTATCTGATACTGAGTGTTTCTACTTAGTATTTATTAATATTTTCTATTATTTATTAGCTTTTGATGTTAAAAACAAGCCAAAACTTGATGGCATTGTATAAGAAGTTATATTTTATCAGCATTTAAATATTTGTTTTTAAAACAAATATTGAACTTACTATAAGCCAGTTCGTTAAACTAAATAACTTTGTTACTATGAACCACATGCCTTTGGGGACCTCAGAAAATCAGTTTGTACCTTGGTTTTGTTTGCCACAAGAGCAGTGTCATGTAGCTTGGGCTAGCCTTGGACTCTCTTTGCTTCCACACCCCACATGTTCGGATCACAGGTGTGCCACTTTGCGTGGTAATAATCAGCTCATTTTAAAAATAATTTATGATACAACAGTGGGTGTTTGCATTTTAAGAATTTCTCTATTGTAATTATTGAACTTAATTACTATTTAGTTTTTCTTATGTCTGTGAGCTGCCACCTGGGTGCTGGGCATTGAACCGGGATTCTCTGCAAGAGCAGCCAAAGCTCCTAACCGCTGAGCCGTCTCTCCAGCCCCACAGTTTTTCCTATTTTTGTCAGCTGCTTGCTTTTATTTTTCCAGTTTTTCAGAGCACTTTGTTTTAGAGCACTCTGGAGTTCACATTTTCAAGTTTCTCTTACTCATTTCCTGAGTCATTTCCTAGAGCTTTTCTGGTCTCCTTAAATATTTTATATTTAATAATTTAGGTTTGTACTCATTTTTTTAAGATGCTGAGGATTTAACCTAAGACCCTATACATGCTAGGCAAATTCTCTACCACTGAACTATGTCCTCAGCCCTACATTTGTGTCTTGAACTGGTTTTCAGTTTACATCAGAATTGCTGAGATGGAAGTTTTTGTAGACCCTCATCCACTTGTCCACTGTAAATATCAAAACAGTTGACCAAGTGACATGCCTCAATCCCAGCACTCAGAAGGTAGAGGCAGGTGGATCTCTGTGAGTTTGAGGCCAGCCTGTTCCAGACCAGCCAAGACTACATAATGAGACCTTGTCTTAAAAAATATTGGAGGGAGGGGTTGTTTGGAGGGAAGGCTCAGCATTGACTGCTCTTCCAGAAGATCCGGGTTCGATTCCCAGCACCTACATGGCAGCTCACAATCATCTATAAATCCAGTTCCCAGGGATCCAGGCCCTTTCTGGCCTCTGTGGGCATTGTACAGAAGTTAGCATAGATGCAGCCCCTGACTAAACCACAAGCCTGTTCTTCCTCTTGACAGGAATAAATGCAGTTTCTACAGATACCTGCTTTCTCACATTTTCACTGAGTCTACAAAATTGTCCACCTCAAAAGACTGTACTAGGTTTTGGGGTTGTTTTGTTTGTTTGATTTGTTTTTTAAGCCACCAATCAGGATGTAGTTCTCTATAGAACTATGTACTACCTCCAAGGTAGCTTTCAGTCGCTCTCCAGGTTTATGTGGCAAAATTATTATGTCAAGCATGAATGTCAAGCAGGCCTTAGAGTTCTTTCCCACAGTATTTACATCAGGCCAGAAAACATGTGAAGTGGAAAAGATATTTTGGTGCAAAGATTCTTACCTGGGCCTGGTGTGTGTCAAACCCCAGCACGTGGAAAGTGGAGGCAGGTAGAGCAGGTCATCCTTAGTTACATACTGAGTTCAAGGCTAGCTTTGGCTACAAGAGACCTTGTCTCAAACAAAACAAAACAAACAAACAAAAAAAGGAACGTTTCGTATGACCTCCCTCATTACCTCAATTTCTGATTGGTTGATTCAATTGCTGTTGGTATTGGGTGCAGTCATGTGGTACATTACTACAGACAAAATGATTGCTGTTTGCAGGCTCAGTCATTTTCTTAAATTGCATGGAATTTGTGAACATTGTATCTAGGACTAAGGGAGCAGTCAGTAGACATATGGACCCATTGACCTGTGACATGGCAGGAAGCAGCCAACCAAAGCAGTTCCATGTAGACTGGTATCCGCTGGTGTGCCACTTGGTTGCTCCGCAGCTGCTGCCTGGCTGTTGTCCTACATAAAGAGACTGGAGCACCTCTGCTGTGTATTGTATCACAGCATTTGACATGTGGTCAGAAGCTTGCAAGCTGGAGTGGAGAGATGGCTTATCCATTAAGACGCCAGCTGGGCGAGGTGGTGCCCGCCTTTAGTCCCAGCACTCAGGAGGCAGAGGCAGGTGGATCTCTGAGTTCGAGGTCAACCAGGGCTACACAGAGGAACCCTGTCTTGGGGCAGGGGGAGCACTGTGGCTCTTCCAGAGAACCCAGGCCTCTGGGCACTGCATACATGTGATGCACAGACATACGTGTAGGCAAAAACAACCATGCACATAAAAATAAGGCTTAAAAAGTTTGTAAGCTGAGGACTGAAGGGGAAGAATTTCCAAGCATAATTTTACCTCTTGAATCTTGTCATTACGGGCTTTGACAAGTGGTCACCAATTAGGGGTCATGGTGCACACCTATAATCTCAGCACTCATGAGACTGAGGCCGGAGGATTGCAAGCGTGAAGCTAATCTGACTTAACTGAGTTTCAGGCCAGCCTAGCTTACATAGTAAGACCTTATCTTAAAACAAACAACAAAAACCACGTGGTCCCTGACTGACCCTGTGGAGCATCTGAATGAGTGTGCTACACATACTCATACTTACAGAACAAAAGTGTGGATTTGCAGCAAATATAATTTTGTAATGTGAAAATAAGTGATTTGGTGATGTTTGGTTAGTGTTAATAAAAGTCCTGAATAAAACTGATAACTGATGAAGAGGCATCTGTGTGTGTGCCCTGAGAGTACAGGATGGAAGTCCCTGGCACTGTTCTCCCTGGATATACTGTCCATCTCTTGAGGAGAAAGCATAGACTAAGGATCTGTTGCCCTCTTCAAGTAGAGGGGAAGCCTGCGCCAGCCCATCACAACCGTGACAAGGAGACCCCACAGAGACAGGTGCATATTCTGCCACGTTTGCCATGGCCAGCTGTGGTGACCTGCTTCCTGACCTTGCTGCTTCTGCCTTTTGGCCCTCAGGGTTTGGCATTTGGAGTAAATGAAGAATGGAGAAGAACCACTGTGAGGATTATCAGATGTCTCCAGTCATCTTGGTTCCTGTGAAACGTAAAATTCAACATCAAAAGCAAACTCATGGCTGGAGAGATGGCCCAGCAGTTAAGAGCACTGGCTGCCCTTTCAGAGAACCCTGGTTCAATTCCCAGCACCCACATGGCAGCTCACGGCTGTCTGTAACTCCAGTTCCAGTGGATCTGACACCCTCACACTAGTGCACATAAAAGAAATCATTTTTTTTTTTTAAAGCAGCAGGGTGGTGGTACATACACCTTTAATCCCAGCACTTGGGAGGCAGAGTCAGGCTAATCTCTGTGAGTTGGAACCTAGCCTGGTCTACAGAGTGAGTTCCAGGACAGCCAGGACTGTTGCACAGAGAAACCTTGTCTCAAATTAAAAAAAAAAAAAAAAAAATCAAACTCAAACTCACATTTCTCATTCAAAATGAGACTGTTACTTGGACATTTGCATAAGTTAATATTAACATCTTTCCTAATGCCTTCTACTTTTTTTATGTCGTGATACTGAGAATTTTTTGGTTTTTTGAGACAGGGATCCTCTGTGTAGTTTTGGTGCCGGTCCTGGAACTCACTCTGTAGACCAGGCTGGCCTCGAGCTCACCGATATCGGCCTGGCTCTGCTTCCCAAGTGCTGGGACTAAAGGCGTGTGCCACCACCGCCCGGCCAATACTGAGAATTTGATGTAGTGTCTTACACATACCACTGAGATATCCCCAGACTTTTTTTTTTAAAAAAACTTTTTTGCTTGAGACATGGTGTCCTAAGGTGACCAGGCTATCCTTCAACTCACTCTGTAGCCTGGACAGGCCTTGAACTTGTCGTCTTCTTCCTCAGCCTCCCAGGTAGGTGAGATTACAGGCTGCACCACCAGGCCTAGCAGAACATTTTCCTTTGAACGGCGCAGAAATGCTCACTGCCCTGTCTAGTTCCTTGCTGTGAGGCTTCTGGGCACAGCTCCTGCCCGAAGCCTGAAGCTGCTCCGGGACCCTGTTTGCTTCTCCATGAATAGTGACTGTCCTCCTCTTCCCTGGTTCTCTTTCCCATGTTGGCTACGAGGGTGGGTATGGCCTGTGGTCTTCCCCTCTGCTGCCTCTTAACTCAAGGCTCTCCTGCTGCATCGAAAATTTCTCCAGAGGATGCTGGGAGGCCTGGCCCACTTAGAGAAGGCCCTGTCTGCTAGGCCAGGAGGTCCTTGATCCCAGGGCTACCCCCGCATAGCTACAGTGAGCACTGGTTTTCTGCAGTTCCTCAGATGGATCCAGAACCTCTGTTAGGAAGCTTTCTGGCTCCTAAGAAAACGCTGCTGTTCTGATGTCCACCGTGGGCTGTCAGCCCTCCAGGGCAGGAGTGCAGCTGACTGCAGAATCAACAACTGCTGCATGGCTGGTGCAGGGCCGTTCCCAAGGTTTGTCCTGCACCCCCAGAATCCCCTGAAACAGCTTTCTCTTACTGCCAGGCTCAGAACCACAATTGGCACCAGAACACAGACGGATGAACCACACCTGTAATCTCAAGATTTGCGAGTTAAAAGCCAGAGGATCGGGTTCAAGACCACCCTAGGGGGGGGCTGGAGAGATGGTTCAGTGGTTAAGAGCACTGATTGCTCTTCAGAGGTCCTGAGTTCATTTCCCAGCAACCACATGGTGCCTCACAACCATCTGTAATGAGATCTGGTGCCCTCTTCTGGCCCGCAGGGATACATGCAGGCAGAACACTGTATACATAATAAATAAATACATCTTAAAAACAACAACAACAACAACAAAACCACCCTAGGTCACATAAGGTCCCCCCCACACACACACACAAACAATAAAAACTGGGTTTGTCTTCTTCCTGTCCTAAAGCCTTTTCATATTTTAAGACTTAATTTAGAGACCAGCTTTTCCTAGGACCCCAGGATGGAGCCCCCAGCCACTCCTCTCTCTGTACTCACCCCTACATCTAGCAGCTCCATTTCTGGCTTAGTTTTAGAGATTTGTCCAGGGATATGTTCCAGATACTCAGTGTGTTCCAGTTATCAAGTGGGGAGACATAGGGTCAAAGGCAGATGGGGGAGGGGATGGGGAGCACAAACACTGAGTCTTTATTCAGCACCTGACAGGCTGCTTCCAGGGCCAAGCTTACAGTAAACTGGCTTTATTCTGAGGGCCTCACACTGCCCCCTGGTGGCAGAGCTTCCTCTGCCGGCCTGATCTCCTTCAGAGAGGAAGAACCAGTCAGGCCCCTTGTACCAACTCTTGAAGTTTGGAATTTTTGCTAGAAGTGAGAGGTTGCCCTGTCTTTGGGACCGTTCTAGCTGCATGCCTTGTAAATACGTATCTATTGTCTCTCTTGTGGTCTTATATGCAGATTTGCAAACCACCCTTGCTGTTCAAATTGTCCAGGAGCCAAGCAGCAAGAGGCAGATCCTGTGTTTATAGGACTTTATTTGTTTGTTTATTTGTTTTTAGGCAAGGTCTCCATATGTAGCTTTAGTTGTCCTGGAACTGGCTATGTAGACCAGGCTGGTCTTGAACTCATAGAGATCCTCTTGCCTCTGCTTCCCAAGTGCTGGGGTTAAATGAGTGTGCCATGAGTAGCAGGGGTCTTATTTTGCTGTTTTTTTTTTTTTTTTTTTTAATTTGTGTGGGCGTTTTGCCTGCATGCATGCATGAGCACCACGAGACCAGAAGATGATGTCGGAGGACCCCTTAGAACAGGAGTTAGAACTTCGAGGTGTCTTGTGGATACTTGGCACGGCACCCCAGCCCTCTGCTAGAGCAAATGCTCTTAACCACTGAGCCATCTCTCCAGCCCTGTTTTTATTTCTTTGATCCTTATTCTGTAAGGTATTTATTTCTCGTGCTCAGGATTAAATTCAGGACCCCATGCATGCTAAACCCACACACTACCATCAAGTCACACCCCTCCCCCACCAGCCTTATTTAATGTTTTTGGATAAGATCTGCCTATATAGCACAGGGGTTACAGATGTGCACTACCATGCATGGCTAAACTATTTCTGAGTTTAAAAAAAATAGCTGCCTTGAATCATGTTCCATTCCCTAAAATAGTGCAATTATCTATGGTTTTTTTTGTTTCCACCAGCTACATCCGGGCCACACGTGGTTCTGTCTCACCAGGGTTAGAGAGCATGGTGCCATGGTGCCATCTCTTTATAGCCTTGTCTGTCCCATGTCCTTGTGTTCCTCTCTCCCCAGCCCCAGGCCTCCATGGTGCCTTGGAAGGAGACTGCTGGCAAGGTTCCTCCTGAGACACACAGTTCTCAATGTTCCTGAAAGGCTGCTGCTTCTCCTTCCCCCTGCTTCCTGCCCTCCTCTTCCTTCTCTTGCCTTCCTCTTCTTCCTCTTATTTTTCTCTTCTCCTGCTTTTCCTCCTTCTGCCCCCTTTCTTTTTGTTTGCTTGTTTTGAGACAGTACTGTGTAATCCAGGCTGGCCTTGAATTTACACTATTTCTGCCTCAGTCAACTGTGCTGAATGACAGCTGTGGACGACCAAACCTGGTCTTGCCTTCCTTGGAATAGCTTCCCTGGAGTAAGTTCATCTTTCCAGGTTAAGGCTGTTTGGGATGTTATTACCTAGAATTCTCTGCCTCCTTTTCTGGGATTTCTGGAAAGAGCCATCGGCTGAGGGTCCCACATTCCGTCTCTGTTCCTCTCATGGCTCTCCAACTTGCATTTCCAAATCCCCTCCCTCTCAGTGTCTGGAAATCCCCACTGACAGTGACAGGCCAGAACTCATGACCTATGATTTCATGCCAAGGGGGAAGTAACAGTGAGGGAGAAGGCAGGGATGCCCCTACAGTTTCTTTCCTAGAGTCCACTCAAAGTAAGGGCCCTGAACAGTGCCTGGAGATCCAGGTGGGAAGTATGAGATGGAATCAAGGGAAAGATGGTGGCTGAACTGGCGGTTTAGCCCACTAGCCCAGACCCTAGATCAGAATTCTAATCCCATCACTTGCTGGTTGGTGACTAGAGTGAGGCTCTTAACCTTCCTAGGTTTGTTTCCCCACTGAATAAGAGTAGGTGTAGCAATGGCCTCAGGTGCCTCAGCACATAGGTGCTCTTAGCTGTGTTTCCTAAATCGGCTGGACACCCTGCTGGGGTCTGGAATACAAAAACTAAAGAGTCAAACGACCTCCACTGACAGCAAGAAGGGGGTGAGAGGAGGACATTTAGAGAAGGGCAAGGAGAAACAGGGAGGGATGGCAGGAGGGCTTTCTGCAGGAAATGGACTCTGAGGAATACGTAAGGAGAAGAGGGAACTGGTGCTGGAGGATCAGAGGCAGCAAGGGGGAGCGCACCAACAAGGGTCTGGCATGTGATCAAGCACCAAAGAATTGTAGGATAGTCAGTGATGATGAGAAAACAAAACACAACAAAACTGTCAGGGCTAGAGCAATGGCTCAGTGGACAAAACTGCCAGGGCTGGAGAGATGATGGCTCAGTGGTTAAGGACACTCCCTGCCCTTGCAGAGGGCCTGGGTTCAGTTCCCAGCACCCACACGCCATCTCACAACCATCTGTAACTCCAGTTCCAGGAGGCCTGGCGCCCTCTCTGACTTCTCCAGCACTACACACACAGGAAAAAGAGCAGGGAGACGGAGGAAGCATGGAGACAGCCAGTACGGAGGCCCAGTCAGCAAACTAGTGGCTCAGCTTGGAGGAC